CTCTAGGGAACCGTTTTGATTGGCACAAGCTTGTATCTGTGAAGCTTCTTAAGTGAGCAGATGCTGGAAGTATTGGGAATCTTTGTGGTGAAGGTTCTTTGAATTATTTTGGGTGTCAATTTAAAAAAAATTTTTTTTTTGTTTTTTTTGTTTTTCTCTAAAGCAACTAAAACTCGTTTTTCTGAATTGAATTTCATTCAGATGTAGATATCCTAGAGGTTGTGACAGTTATGGTCCCACAACAGTGACAGTATTTATGTAAATATCTTTCATGCTCCAGATGAGAAGGATGGCTTGACCCTCAGCCTTCGGGAATCCCAGAAACTCTTTCAGAATGGAAAGGAAAGGGAGATCCAGCTTGAGGCACAGATAAAAGCGCTAGAGACCCAGATTCAAGCGTTCAAAGTCAGTGAAGAAAAGGTAAGCTTTTATCTTTCTTCAACAGAACTTCAGTTGGGGACTGGAGCCGTGGCTCAGCAGCCAAGAGCACTGGCCGCTCTTCAGAGGACCAGGGTTCAATTCCCAGCACCCACATAGCAGCTTGCTACAACTTGTATCTTCTGTCCTAGGGGTCCAACCCCCTCTTCTGGCCTCTGTGGGCACCAGGCATGTGTGGCTCACAGACATACATGTAGGCAAAACACTCACAGATTAAACAAACAAACAAACAAACAAATAAATAGAATTAAAAGAACAAAAACCTTTTAGTTTGTAGAAGACTACATTCAGAAGAACTTCGTGTGACACATGTCCTGCCACCTACCTGGGATCCTCTGTTCTCTGTAGGTACCAGGAGGAGGTGGCAGTTCTCTGTGGGTGCCAGGAGGAGGTGGCGGTTCTCCGTGGGTACCAGGGGGAAGTGGCAGTTCTCCGTGGGTACCAGGGGGAGGTGGCAGTTCTCCGTGGGTGCCAGGGGGATGTGGCAGTTCTCCGTGGGTGCCAGGGGGATGTGGCAGTTCTCCGTGGGTGCCAGGGGGATGTGGCGGTTCTCTGTGGATACAGCATCTGTCCTTTTGGAGCGTCATGTTCTTCCTTCAAGTCTCTCCGCTCCTCTAGTTTTACTGTTCCTGCAAATTATGGCCACCTGGATAATATTTCCAGAATATAGTTCTAATTTTGTTATTCTTTACTTAAAGACTTTGCGTGACCTACCTTACCTGTGGGATAAGGTGACCTGTCAGGGGTCATCTCTTCCCTCCTGTCTTGTTTGAATGCCCGTGCACACTGCCTCTTCTTGGGAATGCCTAGTCCATGGCTCTTGCCATCTGACCAGCCAACTCCTGCTTATAGCTTTTACCCCGAGTCTCTTTCTTCACTTTCTTATAAAAGACAAAGAATACCTCGAAGGCATCATTGGGCTAGCCTCATTCCTGTAGCCATTTAGGCCAGTAGTTGGCGTACAGTTGGTGGTCAGTGTGTGCTGATTGAGTGCTGGTTGAGATGAAACTTAACATGCACACGTTTTTTTTTTCTTACGTATTTTTCTGTTCCTGTTTGAATGCTGTCATGATGGTGACTTTGTGGTGTATGTAGCACGAATTGTTAGAAGGTCTTATTAATAAAAACAATCCCAGAGCCAGGTATTTGGGTGGACGCTGAAAGATTAGAGAAACAGAACCAGCCACAGCCACCCCACCTGGCCAGTTCCTCAGCTGATCCTGTTTCCTCAGACTGGAAGCCTCTTCATCCTGAATGAATCTCAGCTGAACTGCTGCTCAAAATCCTAAAAGCTTAACCAGGATCTAGTTCCTGGTCCTCATGCCTTATATACCTTTCTGCTTTGTTCCATCACTTCCTGGGATTAAAGGCGTGAGTCACCATGCCTAGCAGTTTCCAGTGTGGCTTTGAGCTCACAGAGATCTGGATGGATCTCTGCCTCCAGAATGCTAGGATTAAAGGTGTGAGTGCCACCATTTTCCTTGGAGAACTGCCACCTCCCCCTGGCCTCTATGTCTACCTAGCGGCTGTTCTGTTCTCTGACCCCAGATACGTTTATTAGGATGCACGATATATTGGGAAACACAATAGCACCACAGGTGTATTTTAAAATTGGCAAACAAGGCTTGTTCCTGTTCAAAATATTTTGAAAATTTCTCTCACTTTTTTTCTTTAGATTTTGTAAATCAATGGTTAACGTTTTATAAAACAAAAATCTAATTGGAATTCTGATTGGGAAGGCACTATACTTTACCATTTTATGCATGTATGAAGCAGGTCTTAGAATGGCAAATTACTTGCCCAAGGTCATAAAGTCAGTTATTGACAAATGCTGAGAGTGTAAAGATCTTGATCCAAATAATTTCCTTCAGAGTTTCCTAAATTTTTTTGAGTCTCCTTATTTTAATGTTATTTGATTAGTAACTGTAATCCTATCTATAACTTTATATCAATTAATTAATTGCTGTAAAGCCTGCATAATCACAGATTTAGGGCATTGGGAAACCATCTGTGGGTTGTGATTTTACCCACAGTATCAGCTTTGCTTTCAGAACTCTTTATGCTGGAATGTGGTGGCATACGTTTCTAGTGCTAGCCACTTGGGGCTGAGGAAAGATGATCACTTAGCCTGGGAATTTGAAGCCAGCCTGGGCAGACAGTGGGATTCCGTCTCAAAAAAGAAAACCAAAAATCTTTTTATTTAGTAAGTGACCATTTGTAGGTTTGCAGTCTTTGAATGAGCAACACATTTTTCTGAGACCCTACAATTGGGTGGCCTCCCTTTGCTCATGGAGCCGTGCAAACAGTGCCAGGGCTGATCTGCAGCAGGACCACTGCTCTTCAGACTCCTCATGGGCCCTCTGCAGGTACTGTGCAGTCTAGTTGTCAGGGAAGAATTGTGCCTAGCATCCGTGGGCGTGTGAGTAGCAGCCGGGGACAGTCTTAAAGAGCAGAGTTAAGATGCTATCTACATGGCTACCCTGTGTGTGTTTGCTAGTTGACCAAGAAGGCCAGAACAACTGAAGTCACCCTGGAGAGCCTGAAACAGCAGCTGGTGGAGCTCCATCATTCTGAATTCCTTCAGCGAGCCCGGGAACAGCACGAGAGCATTGTCACGGGCCTCACACAGAAGTACGAAGAGCAGGTGGTATCCTTACAGAAGAATTTGGATGCGACCCGAACCGAACTTCAGGAGCAGGTCAGGTGACCCCTAATGAGCAACTATCCATTGAGTAAAGCTGGTTATTTTTTGTAACTGATATTTTTTGGTCCCCCAGGTAGAAATTTTGCTGCTCATGATAGGTATAAAATTGTAACTGAACTCCCACCCCCCAAAAAAAAACCACTTTTTTTTTTGAATCATGAATATGTCTGAAACCCTAATTTTGGGTACCTTTCTTATAGAATCAATTGGTACCTTCTCAGACCTCAGTGCTAGTCAAACTGTAGTTTTTATATATATTTATATATATTATTTATATATATATATTTATAGTTTTTATATATTATTTATATATATTTATTTATATATATTCATATTCTTGTAGAGTAAATGCCAGCTGAAAGGAATGGGTATACCGCCACTGACCAGAACCTGGGGTTGACCCAGCAGCCTTTTGTAGGTCTCTGGACATTCACTTCTCCTTAAAGAGTGTAGAGTAATGGTTCTTTTGAGAATAGAAATTGGCTATCTGGAGTCCAGTATTCTGATGGCTGACAGATGCTTCAAATAGAAAATTTTACAGCAAACCTCTAGGTCACAGTCAGTATTGTATAAAAAAAAAATCTTTGGACTGAGTGTAATATATATATGCCTTGGCTAGTTTTTATGTCAACTTGACATAGCTAGAGTCATCTGAGAGGAAGGAACCTCAATTGAGAAAAGGCCTCTATAAGGTCAGGCTGTAGCAAGCCTGTAGGCATTTTTAAAATTAGTGATTGATGGAGGAAGGCTTAGCCCATTGTGGGTGGGGCTACCCCTGGGCTGGTGGTCCTGCATTCTATAAGAAAACAGGCTGAGCAAGCCGTGATGAGCAAGCAGCACCCCTCCATGGCCTCTGTGTCAGCTCCTGCCTCCAGGATCCTCCCTGTTTGAGTTCCTGCCCTGACTGCCTTTGGTGGTGAACGGTGATGTGAAAGTGTCAGCCAAACAAGTGTAAACCATTTCTTCTCCAAGTTGCTTTGGTCATGGTGTTTCATCACAGCAGTGGAAACCCTGACTAAGACAGTAACAACATTAAGTAAATTTCATGTATAATCTTGAGTCTCATTCCAACATACATATATGGATTTTCAAATTTTCCAGAATTGAAATGTTTCCCATGCTGGACACTCATTCTGTAAAATGTATAAAATAGGGAAGAAAGTCTGTTCTAAACACACTGCTTGTGATCCTAAGCTTGAGCATATTTCACAGTCGACTTCTGTATTTGTGTCCAAGAAGGAGTGAGTATTGAAAGCTCAGAGTGAGTCGAGTGGCGGGGTTACTTGTCTCGTGTCCAGAACCTGAGATTGAATCAGTACAGCTTCAGAATGAATTTTCCCTAATGTAGTTTAAGAACTAATTTAACCCAAGAGAAAAGGAGAAGAAACTAAGGAGAGGATATGATAAACCTCCCACACGCAAAGTTCACTCTGATTTGGGTTGTTATCTCTGACTTCCATGGCCGACTCTGCCTTTTCCCATGTTTGGTAGACCTCGTATGGCAGAATAATTGTGTGACATTTTACTTCATTATTGTTTCTATTTTATATATTTTGCTTTATGACCTAGTCTCCTGTAGCCCAAGCTGTCCTCAAACTTGCTAAGTAGCTAACGGTGACTTTGAACTTTGGATCCTCCTGACTTTGCTTCCTGAGTGCTGGGTTATGGGCATGCACCACCATGCTCTGTTAGTGTGACTCTGGGTTATGGGGCATGCTCCACCATGCTCTATTACTGTGATGCTGGGGTTATGGGCTTGCACCACCATTCTCTGTTAGTGTGATGCTGGGTTGTGAGCATGCTCCACCATGCTCTGTTAGTGTGATGCTGGGTTGTGGGCATGCACCACCATGTTCTGTTAGTGTGACTCTGGGTTGTGGGCATACACCACCATGCTCTGTTAGTGTGATGCTGGGTTGTGGGCATGCACCACCATGCTCTGTTAGTGTGACTCTGGGTTGTG